TTTTCTGTAGAGAACTAGTAGTGACTATATACTTGCGCATATGACTCAATGGTCAGTGAGAGAAATATAAGCTCTGACTCCTACCGTAACCAACTTTGCCAGGATTATAGGCTGCTCTGGCAGGAGCTTTCAAATAATTTCTTCTGCAATTGTCTCCATCCCTTTTTTCTGCTCCTCGTTCCACTTCTGCTTGACCCACCTAGAGTCACAGAGCTGTGATATAATTCAGGTTGAGAAGGACCTCAGGAGGATTCTAATGCAACCCCCCTTTTTTTTTTGTTGCCATGCAACTCCATAAAGATATTGGCTCCCTTGTTTAGTAATCTCCTTATTAGGCATTGAAAGGGTGCTACTAGGCACCCGTAAAACTTTCTCTTTTTCCGTCAGAGCAAGCCCAACTCCCCTAGCCTCTGTTTACAGGGCATTTTCTCCAGCCCCAACCAACCTGGTGACCTTCCACTGGACTCACTCAAGTTTGTTGATGTCTTTCGTTTATTGGAGTAGACATGTAATTTCCATCCAGACATAGTTGTCCAGATGTGGTCTAAAGATTGCTGTGTAAAGGGGAATAATGTGAGCTTCTTGTGCTCTTGGAAAATATTACAATTCAGAATCCAGGAAGAACATGAAAGTAATGTGGAGCCTATTTACTTTCTGCTAAATCCGAAGGAATGCTCTCTCGTCTGCGTCAGAGCTCCCTGGCAACCCCTGTCACCCTTATCGAAAAAATCTTTTCTCTAAAAAATGTCAGGACATTTCTTCCATTTTTTTTCTCTCATGCCATAAAGATACATAATACCTGAAAAAATAAAGTTTTTGGAATTGGCAATAAGTTGCAGTGTGAAGAACAACAAAAAGCGTAGTAAAATTAAAAGGTAGACCAAGTGAACCAAAATGAAAAGAGCCTCAGCAACTGACTCGCTACAGAAAGCGTTGACTCAAAATTTCTGATCCAAGGGTTGTTAGATTTTAGTGGCTTGAAATAAATGAATAACAATGATATTTGGACTTAGATTAATTAGGATAAAGTTCAGATGGGGATTTGCACACATCTCAAGCGCAAAGAGTGAACCAACTACCTTCCTTCTGTTAGAGAGATTTCTCACAGGCTTGTGGTTGGGAGAAGGCTTGTTACCAGGATTGTGATGTTTTATAGCAGGCCAGAGAGCTCACTGCTGGAGACAAAGTGTTCAATTTTCTTAGACAATGGCTCTGCTGGAGGGGCAGGAACCAGTTTGCTGAACACAGAGATCACAAGGGTTATTGGGTATCCAGTCAACCCTGGTAGGGTTATGTGCTCTCAGTCAAGTACTGTCCAGATCCCCTTTCTTGCTCCTTTCGCATGCTTGCTGGCTTTGAGTTAGCTTAAAAATGTCCCACTCCACCTCCCGTATCTCCTATACCAGTGAGCGTCTCCAGGTGAGCAAACGGGTGAAAGAAGGAATTTTCTGGGACGCTGGTGAAGTACAGGTAAATAAATAAGCCTGTGTTTCCTTCTCATATCCAAAGTAATAATGGGTGAAGCATAAGTGAATCCCTCTTTCTGTGTTTTTGTTAGCTAGAACACAGATACCAGAACTCCCATTTTTTTTTGTATGATGATTCTGTGACTTCCAATCTGATGCCGCAGCGATGTTTTAAAGAGGCAGGACAAGACCAATCTGTGCTGCAATGTTTATGCTTGCTGTTGCTGAAAGCCAAATTACAGGCAATAGGAACAAATGAACTCTTTTTAGAGGATGAATATGAATCTGTGCATGTTGTGGTGGTGTAATGTGTTTTGCATAGTGCAAGTATTCATCCTTACTGATTCTGCATACTTTCTGGATTCCTTCTGAATTCATTTTTTAGATCAAAGTTCCCTCATTTTTGTCCAGTGTGGCCTTTTTATTGATCTTTGCCCTTTTCTCATCCCTGATGTTGTCCTGCAGCGGTGTTGTCCTCTCCAGCATCAGCTCCTGTAACTGGTGGCTTTGTCATATAGCTCAGAAACCCTTGTGCTCCTTTCCAGTGCTCAGCTTTTAAAATTAGGATACTTCAGTGGTTGTGGAATGATATTAGCAGATTATGCTAGGAAATTTTTAGTGTCGCGGCAGACATTGCTGTGCAGCTATTTTAGGGATATGTTCTAGAGTTGTTACAAGGTTGGTAAAGAAGTATGGTAAAGAGGTAGCAGGACTTAACTACTGCAACAAAAGCATGACTCTAACTAATGCTGTTCTCGTTCTATGACATTATATTCTTGTCAGCCAAGTAATGCCAATACTGAGTAAGAGACTTCAGGGACTTATACTGGACAGTGATTCACTGAAAATACAAGAGCACATATAAACCTGACTGTTACATGTTATGGTTTTGCTCATTAAAGTGAATTGAATTAATCCTGTGTGTGTCCAGTTCTGAACTCTTGCCCACAAGAGAGACATGCACACACTGGAGAGAGTCCAACAGAGGGCCATGAAAATTATTAAGGGCCTGGAACATCTCTTGTATGAGCAAATAAGCTGTTCAGTCTGGAGAAGAGAAGGCTCAGGTGGAAACCTCATCTGTGTGTATAAATACCTGGTGGCAGAATGTAAAGGTGATGGGGCCAGGCTTTTTTCAGTGTTGCCCAATGACAGGACCAGAGTCAATGGGCACAAACTGAAACACAATAGGTAGCCTCTGAACATCAGGAAACACTTTTTTTACTGTGAGGGTGACCAAGCACAGGTTGACTGGAGAAGTTGTGGAGTCTTCGTCCTTGGAGATATTCAAAAGCCATCTGGACATGGACCTGGGCAACTGGCTGTAGGTGTCCCTGCCTGAGCAGAGGGGTTGGATCAAATGACCTCCAGGGATCCCTTCCAACCTCAACCATTCTGTGATTATATGATCCTTTGTTATTTTCCCAGTAACGAGAAACCTTTAAGGAAATCTATATCCTTTACTGTAGTTCTGATAAAGCTAGTAAGGAAGATATCATGCAATTAGAATCAATTATTTTAATGTCATGTAATCTGAAACTGTTCTGAAGAGGAAAAGCGGGCTGCACCATCAGAGTAAAAAATGATAGCTGTTTTCAGCTTCAAAACAAGTGAGTGAACATTGCAGGAGCTACCTGCTGATGCTGATGTAAGTAGTGGAACTGCAGCTACCAATGGGATATCTAATAGCCGTTTGCTAAGGAAAGTAAAGGGGGTTTTTAGTTGTGTCATTATATTACATAGAAAAAGACAGCACTTTTCAAGATGACAGGACTTTGAGAGTTGAGTGGTTATCTGCAGGAGATAAGGTGAATATGAGCAAGAAAACAAAACTGCTGCAAACAAGTTGTTTAATTTTTTTGATTTATCTTTCTTTTGTTCTTGAAACAGTGGAAGCTCTACATTTGGGAACGCTGATGGCAGCACACGGCTATTTCTTTCCAATCTCAGACCATGTTCTAACACTAAAGGATGATGGCACCTTTTATCGATTCCAGGTAAGTGGTTTCACTATATTCCTGACTCGCCCAAATGGAGGCTCACATTTAAAGGCCTCACACGAAGGTTCATAGCAAATTTTAACCACACTTTATCTCTTATGTAACCTTGTAAATGGTGGCAATTCCTTTGAAAGTAAAAAATGGTAGAAGGATTTTATTTAGAAATTAGGTCAGCAAAGTGTTAAGATGATAGTGACCATTTTGATCCCTGGAAAAAGTGTGATAATGCTGAGTCTGGAAATATCGCTCATGAAATAAATTAATCAAGTATTTTGGAAATGCAGTAAAGGAAATGAAATTATCTTATTGACTTTTATTCCTAACATACTCTTAATTTGGAAAGTGGGAGGTATTTTACTTATTAAGCCTATAGCAGAAATCTGATAAAAAATGGACAGCAATATTTATATTCTTTCTTATGTAAGGATTTCCTTATCGGTAGCAGAGTAGTATTGAAGTAGCGTGTATTCTTCAAACAAGTGCAGACACATTTCTACATTGATCTGTCAGTCCCATGGCATACAACAAACATGCAGATGCTTCACAACAAGCTGGAAGGATGTACATGTATGTATATGTATACCTATACCTACACGTATATGATTCAGAGATCTACACAGTTGTATTTTATTATATTAGATTTCAAACTAAGGGCTTGGGGAGCTGGAGTGTTGCTTTTCTAATAATGAATAGCAGCCTAGAAGTTTGCAGAGAAATACTACCTATGACTTGAAACAAATATGATTGCACAGCATCTCACTATGTATTCTAGAGAGGAATTAACTTTGCTATGAGCCACCTGTGACAATGGTGGTTATGTTCTCTATTGCTTTTCCTATTAGGTGGTGTTCCTGGTAGGTATCACCAACAGCTGCTCCAAGATCTTCTCTAGATATTTGTTGCTTTGAAATGCTATGATTATCACTATGAAATTGATTATATGAACACCATAGTTTGATAGTCCTACTCTGTTAGTTCTAACTGAAATAAGAAGGTAGAAAAATTACAGAAAATAATATCCGGTAGAACAAAATCAATTGTCTTCAAGATATATAAGTCTAAGCTTTGTCTTAAACACTGTTTACGTAAGAAGCCATCAAGAATAAGATAAAACTGAGACTGTGGTCTTCAAAATTCAGAAGAAAACTGTACTGCATTGGAGAAAATCATAGCCCTAAAGTTAGATTAATTGCTGTATAACGCTTTCATCAGTATTTTTGGATTTTGTTCTATAGACTCACAGAAGAGAAGAGAAAGGTTCATAATATTTGGTCTAAAATAAGATCTTAGAGTGAATATAATTGAATATGTACAGGACAGCCTGGCAAGAAAGAGAATGGTTATTGCATAGGTACATACAGTATTATCATATTTTCATATGTGGTTCCTTTGGGTCATACAGTGCAAAAACCTGTCCTTCGGCAGGACAGTAAGTTACATGTGTGTATGGGTAATAGAAAGAGCAGTCACTCCAAGCCTCCTCTCCCAGATCCACAGTTACATTTGATCCTGGAGAGAGGATTTGAAGGAAAAGGTTTCCTTCTCATGGTGCTTCATCCTCCTCAGTGTTCAGTATAAAGAAGAGAGGGATGGCACGTGGGTGAAGGGGCTTACTGCTGAGGGACAGGCGCTGAGGTGGCTATGAGGTAAGTGAGAAGTGGATAGAAATCGTGGAGAGGTTTAGGCTCCAGTTCTTGGCTTGTCTCTGTGTAAGCAGCAGCCAGAAGGACAAAGTATCTGAGGAATTTTTTTTGCAGAGAATAGGATTTATTTACAGTAGTGCTGGTCATTGAATTTTGCACAGCTGCTGGCCTGATTCTATCTGAAACATGGAAAATGAGCATGTCTGCTAGCATGATAATTCGACTGAAGGAAAGTATATATTGGAAATAGCTGCACTGTGAACAACTGAGGGTACTGCAGCTACCTTGCAGCCCAGCTATGGGCTTTCCTTGAAGAGATCTACAGCATATGTGTTTAGACATGAAGCTTCAGTGAGGGTTAGGTTGTAAAATGCTATCAGTTGATTTACATAAGTTACGGATTTGGCACCAATTTGACATATGCATACAAAAGAAAGTAATTCCCTTAAGTGTTGTTCAGTACACATCTTACCTATTTTGGCTGGTTGCTGCTCCATGGAGCTTTTGCATTGCTATACCTATGCTAACAATGTTAAAACAATGCAATTTCAGCTGTTGATGTGAAGTATGAGAAAAAAATCATAGTGGTGTCATACTGTTAACTGAAGTTGTAACAGCAAAAGCTGTGTTATTGCAGTTCCACATTCCCCACCAAAATAAGGCTAATACAAAAATCTGTTACTGAAGCTGCTAAATTGGAAGATGAAGACAACATACTCAATGGGGAGGAAAGTTTGACTGCAAATGTGTGAATTTTGCACTAGATTAGTTGTTCAGGTGTTTTGGAAATAGGACCCCCTGAGTATTGGACAGATCCACAATTTTCTGGATGTTTAATAGAAAGAGAAAAAAGTGCACCTGCCAGCACTGAGTTCAGAAGCCGTCCCTGCAGAGAACTCTCTGTCTGCAGTACAAAGACCTGACCTACCAAAAACAGGCTAGCTATGATAATGTTCTCCATGAACTTCATTTTTTGTTTTCCAAAGGGTGACACATTCCCTCCTGACAGTAAAATTACTTCCAGTTTGGTTTAAGCAACCTTCTGTTGTATAGAAATAGCTAAAAGCAGTGGAGATGGTGCTTCATTTGTGCAAATGCCTTTTTACAGGCAAAATTATACTTTTTTTGGTTATTACTCTTGCTGTCAGGAGGGCTGTAAAATTGTAGTTATATCTGCTTTTTTAAATAATGTGGCCTTAGAAATGAAAAAAAGAATAATTCTGGATCATTCTTTGACCTATTCAGGTGTAATTAGGTTAGTTTCTGTGATAACAACTTAATTCAAAGGGGATGGATCTAAAAATTAATTGCCGTATTCAGAGACGAAATTTATTGTGAGTCTCAACAAGACAAAGCGGAAAAATTCAGGGACAGTGATAGTTTCTGAAGCATCCTGAACAGCTGCTTTGCCTTTTCCTGGTATTTTAAGCCTGGGACCAAAGGAGGAGCTGAATATCTGCTAACCACCATCTTCTACCTGAAAGCAAATAGGTATGAGGCGTCCAAATTTGAAAAGCAAGACGCACCTTAGAAAGCAGATCTTTCTGGGGCCAGGGGTTACTTACTGAGACCTTTCATCCATGTCCACATAAGTGATAATATGTCCATCCTGGTGAGGAATGCCTTACTCGCCCTCTCAACTTCTGGAATAGTCTCCCAGGGAAAGATAGGTTGATTTCTTCTACAAGTTGCACATGCATACTAAGTGTCTCAATGTTCATAGTGAAAAATAATGTTTTCTAATGTCTTTTGTCTTTAAACAAACTCCTAGGATACTTGAGGCTAGTGATAATCACACTCCAGTTTTTTGATGAGATTAATTTGTGATTTAACATAAATTATTTTCAGAGCTGAAGTTTAGGTTCTGCTGTTGCTTCATAACTTTTAAGATAAATAGCTGGGTAAAAGTGTTGAAAATGGGAACTGTTTCTTGTGAAAGCATGAGTCTGGTGAAGAGAGCTGCAAAACTCAGGGACTTTGAGAAGATGAAGATTTCACCTATGATGTCTTCTCCTGTCCTACCCCTGGGACTACTTTCCTAACAAACATGTTTAGCCTCTCTGGCCTTGTTTTGCCATGCCTAAAGAGGGGATAAAAATATATATATCAATCACTGTAAGGATCTTAGAATATCTTTTGCCGCAAAATAGAGTAGAGTGTGAAGTGGTGTGGATCCTTGTGTCTCAGGTGGAATTACATTGCTTCCCCCATCTGCTTGAGACAGCCCTGCTTGGCTTGCTACCTCTCGGCTCAGTCCTGGGCCGGCCTCTGGCCATTCTGAACACTGAGGCTGTGGCTGAACATCCCAGCTCTCCAGCCGCTCTCCACAGCCTCGCTGGATCATCTACCGTGCCTTGAGGGGAAGGATTTTATTGGAAGCCAGATCTTAGAAATAAAAAAGAAGCAGGTTATCTTATCCAGCATTTGACAGATTTTCTTTGGCAATTGCAGGTGCAAGGACTAAAGATCAGGCTCAGCATACACAGGTTCTGTTTAGGTTTCAAAGAGGGCAAAATAATTTCAGATCCATGCATCTTTCTGACTGCCCTATCAGTGCCCTTTTGCTTTTTTAACTCAGATGTACTTCCCCACCCCTCCTCCCCCCACTTTCTGTGTTCGTTCCCTTTACAGATTAGAAAAGAGGAGTTACAGAGCTATAATCTTTACTGTTTCCAACTTCCTCAACTTCTTTTTAAATAATTCTGAGTTAACCATGGAGCACTGCTTGCTGGCATCCTTCCTCTATGCGCTTGACAGTGCTAGACAGCGATCTTACCCTTTTTCTTCACCAGGAGATCATTTGAGTCAACTGCAGTGAATGTAAAGCTGAATGCCTGTGAATTCTGCCATACATTATGCAAGGCATTTGAGATTGTGTATAACTGTTGTTTAGCAAAGACGTGATTTCTGCTGTTTATAAAGACTTCCTGGTGCCTGTGAGAATGATAGCAGTAATACGCAACGGAAAGTTTGTGAGTGGTTTGAATATTCCTCCCCCATACTAGTAATTAGATTTTAAAAGATTTTATAGAGTGGAGCAGCTTCAGAAACAATTCTTTTCTTACTACTATAAACAAGGGGTAGCTGAAAGATGTGTAATGATTTCCCTCCTCAGTAATACAGCTTAATGCATAGAAATTAATCATGTTTTATAAAAGCTGATGGGCAACACTGATTTTTACAAGTGACTGTTTCATTAGCTCAGATATTATTACTGATTAATTTTATGGTAGGGCCAAGCAGATCTATTTGCTTTATCTCAGGATTGCTCACAATGCATAGCAGCCACTGATGCCAATTTTAGTATGTAATATGTGCTATATTACAGGATTTTGTTTCATATGACTTTATTAA